AGCATATGACCCTTTGCTTATGGTTCAAAAAGGAACTTGGAAGTGCAGTGTTAATAACGTGCGAGCGTAATTCACATTTGTCGCTCCATAGGCCTCCCACACTTACCAGTGTCTTCTGTTTGTATTCACTTAGTTTTTACTATACATACCTATGTTGATTGCATATTATATGTTATATGATTGCATATGATATGTTATAATGTAGGATAGGTTATTGAATCATTTACTTTCAATTTTAAACATCAAAAAAACTTAGCGTCATTTCTTAGCATAATTTCTTAATATACGTATATATAAATATATACGTATTTTGTGTATATATATGCATATATATATATATATATATATATCGCGTAAGGCCCCTCGTGATGGACTACCGCTCTACCGTTACGCGCGGTGACTCTGGATGTCGCAATGCGAGTTCCAAGCTGAGAAGTGGTGACGTTGCTGGCTCTCCATAAATGATGCCCAGCTAAGAGTTGGCCCTGCCAGAAAATGGTTTGATCCACATAGTCGCGCTTGCCTATGGTAAAAACTTACTTCATCCATGCAAGACTGCTAAGCTCGGGAAAAATTTTTAGCGCATGCACAGCATGTGATAGAAGAAAAAGCCCTGCGTACTGGATCACATCTCTGGTTTCGGATGTCATCAAGTCCAGTATCAAGTGGCATAGCGCACTATTGATTTCGGACAAAAAGGACGCCAAAAAGTTAACGACTTACCACAGAGATTATTTCAGGCTTTGCAGCAACAACATTGAGGACAGTCTTCACCAACGTCGCTCTTCAAACCAAAATGTAAGGTGCATCAATTAACGTAGTTGCCGTGCAGATGACAAAGCTCAGGAAGGCGGACGTGAGGACCTGATTGATGACACACTCATAATTCGTGTTGAAAAGTTCTATCACGGAAGTTGGAGGTCTTGGATTTGTCGCATTCCCATTGTCCAACTTGTGGATTTTCATGATTCTCATCCTATCACCTCACCTGTCTCTCCTTGGACTCCGTCGTTCGCAACTATCACCATTATCGTTACTAATCTCCAATATCACCAGCTGACTAAGCAGAACTGAATGCTTTTCACGAGAGCTCTGCCTATTTGTGAATGACTTCAAGCAAAAATCGGAGTGCTAGAAGAAGGGGAGTATAGAACTGTGCAATTTGGGTTTAAACTCGGGAATGAGATCTAACCGTCTTGTTGTGCTCCTAGCTCCGCCGCACCGCTTTTCATGGCAATTCCATCCTCATAAAAAAGGACACCAGCGGTGGACGTCGCAGTCGCCCATTGGAACGACTCATGCGGAGATCTAACACATTCTCTCCAACCGAAGGTAGTCCTTATTGGACGTCGATATCATCCCCCAGCAGGTGGTAGTTCGGATTGCCTTCTCCTCCGAGCAAAAGTGCAGCCGAAAGCTGGAAAAAAGATCTACCATTGTGTTATGAGTAAGAGACAAATTATATGATGGCATCAGATTGGAAGAGCTCGTAACCATCGACTGTCCAAAGGAAAAACGAGCTCCTTTATGGAGGACTGAGAGGCAGTGGTAAATTTGTCCCAATGCTCAAGGAACTTGAAGAGCATTTTATGAATCATCAAAGATCTGCTTGAGAGAAGGAGAGCACTAAGGCTGGATTCGATTGCATCACATCTCGAGTCTCGAGCTATGCTGACCCTATCTGCTACAGAAGAGATTTGCAAGAAACATTC